AGATTTATTACGCAGTCCCGAAGCCTAAACCGGATACAGAAAAATGGCGCTGAACATGTTAAAGTGTGGAAACAATTTGGCAGAGCTGAACGTAAAAACGAAATCGGTTTCTGTAAAGCCACGTCGAAGAATTAACGGCACCGCGATTCGAAGCTCCTACGTTAAAAACACCGGTGTCAAAGAAGCCGCGTTTCGTGCTGTCACGCAACCGCAGGAATATTTTGCGAGGACGCTCTTGAATCGTGTAAAAATTTAATTCCGGGACCGCCACGAGCGGCGAAACGAAACAGGGGAAACGCGCGGAAGGAGAGAGGGGTGTTATCCTTCGGAACCAGGATAGAAGGGAACAGATGTAGGAAGAAAGAAAGTAGAGAAGAATCTTTAGAATCTGGTTTGCCTGATGGCGGGGTTCAGTCATCGACATTGGTCCCCGGCGTTAGCGCTGAATTCTTTCGGGCGGATAAAACGAATGAAGAAACTGTGAAAAAGAGAAAAAGAAAGAGAGAGAGAGAGAAAGAGAGAGAAGGAGACAAGGCCCTTCTCCTGGGTGGAAAGAACGGTCCGTTTGAATTCATTACCGGAGTCTGATCAGTAACCCTGAAACTCGTGGAAAACATTGGAGACAAAGGGAGGGTGAGGCAGAGAGAAAGAGAGAACGCGGCTCGAAGCGCGGATAGAGGACAGAGGACGCGAGACCAAGAGGTGTTGGTGAGGTGTTCGTGGGGGTGAACCCGGTACGAACGAATCCATGACGTGCCTCGAGGGCAGCAACCGACACGGCGAGTTGCAGTGGACGTCCTTGCTATGTTATCTTTCACTGCTCGTTCCCTTTCACTTTCAGTGTCCAGGAACCAGAAAGCCCAGACCTCCGCGGAACAAAGATACGCCTCCGTCTCGCTCCCGCCTCCTGCCTTACCCCGCCTCATTCTGCCCTACTTCTTCTCTTAATAGCGTCGGCTACCACTGCCGGCTCTATTAATTAGATATCGGGGAAACCAGGCGGCAAGACGCACTTGCCGAACGACCGAACACCTAGAGAAATTCGATTTTCAATCGTCAGGTGCCGCGTGCCGATCGTGCACCGTGCGAAGACGTTGACGTCAAACGCGTTGACTCAACCGTAATGACTACCATGATTTCGACATGATCCGGTCGCCGAGATTTAGTTCCGTTTCCTCGGTATTTCGGGATTCCAGGAATTACACAAATCTGTCTTCGAGATTTTGTATAATCTCGACGTAAATAGGACACCATGTATATCCCTTCTTAACCAGTTAGATGTTTTGGATACTCGTGATGAAGAAATATACTTTAACGAATACTCTGTACTCGTCATGAAGAAACGGCAACATTTTGAATTATTCTCGTCAAACACCGCTAGCTAGTTAAAGTAAAAAGACAGGCATGAATGAAATACGGGTAAGTTTTTCGATAGGTCTAATGAATATTTCTACAGAATTCCATAAAAATCGGCGTGTATCAATCACCGGGCTTCCATTGTAAATGATAAATACGGTGGTTGCTCAATAGACAGCGAAATGTAGAGGTACAGAAACGAATTACACGATGATATTACATTATAAACCTATATTTCATTGCACCAGCAGAAATTCATTATACGAAGATGATCTCATGTTATAAGTATATATTTCACTGTGCTAGCAGATATTCGTTACGCGAAAATGTTCCAGCGTTAGAAACGCATATTTCATTGTGCGTATAGAAATTCATTATTTCGAATCATGATATCCACTTTTATAATGATTTCCCAGTACAAAATAATTTTCTATACTGTTTTAATTAATTGTTCGTTTCGTATTCTGTTGCATATAATAAGAGCGTATCCCAATGTTGAATTGAAAAAGAGAACAATTATAAAAAGAAAACGTGTGCGAAGTTTCCGTTTAATTAGTTTCATTTGCAAATCGATATGCTTGTTAAGAATTAATAATGGATTCCACCGAGCTCGGCTCAAATTGGAAAATGGTAATTTTATTTTTTTAATTTTCGTACGCAACGTTCTATTATCGCATTTCGTGAAACTTTTTCCTGAAGCATGCAAAGCGTCTGAAACGCGTCTCGAAAACGCATATAGAACATACTTTCTCCATTAAACTTCGCCATTAACCTACATGAACTGATTTCTTATTTATTACTCGATCTATTAGAAACGACCGACTTCCTCGGATGATGGAACATTGATCTTAATAAGGTTTAACAAATGCAGAGTTTTGTAAAGAACGTTCAGTATAATAATGCGCAACGATATAGATAGTAAATGGACGGACGTCTTTACATCAAGGTACTCAATTAAACAAAAACGTTTAAAGCACTTGCATTATTTTGGTTTACTGATTATTTTCAGCATTTTTAACACTTCTACTGTTAAGTAACTAAAAAATTTCATAGAATTAAAATATTATATTTCATTAACTTAAAATTGAAAAATTGAGTTCTATGACATCCATTATTTTTGTAATAGATTAGTGTCAAAATTAATTTCCAAATTCAAGAAAATTATTCCGTTAGCCTTACAGTGGGGGACAAAACTGAGTGGACACCCTTTAGAACGCAATAACTTTTTTAAAACTGGACTTAAGTGAATGAATATTTTTAGATGATTGAGGGACTAGTCTATATTAGACAATATATAAAAATAAAATGTTTTTTTAAAATTTTGCTATTACTTGAAGTGACAAAATAAATAAAAAACTCACATTTTTTTAATTTATTTATTCGAACGTATAACGAAAATTTAAAGAATGCATTGTTTAGCAGGCTAGTCCCTCTATAATTTGAAAAAATTCAAGTCCTTTAGTCAAGTTTTAAAAAAGTTATTGTGCTTTAACCCGAGAAAGATAACCTACGTCGCAGAGGCGCCTGCGAAATAAACAACTGACTGCACCGTTTTCATAGAGGTCTAGTGATTTAAGTTTAAAATTACTTAAAATATAAAAAAATATAATATAAATGCATTTTATTTTTACAATAATGCCGAACCTTTAAAATGACTAGATTAACTTAAATAAATATCCATTGTTAGTATAAAATTGACGCCTTAGAAAAGCATGCGCCTCTGAAGCGTATGGTTATCTTTTACGTACGTTGTCATATGGTTATCTTTCTAGGGTTAAAGAGTGTCCACTCAATTTTGTGCCCGACTATACGTAGACAGGTGACTCGACAACCGAAGTGCTAACCTTTGAATAACAAAATCCGAGATCCACAGATACATGTGTAGTCCTCACGCGACAAGAGGGCATCTTTGTGTTTACATTCCTCCACTTACTAGCTGCCCCAGACTGCCGCAGCTAGTAAGAGGGGGAATGTAAACGCAAAGGTGCTTTCTTCAGACTATACGTTCAGAAACAACGAAATTGTCAAACCGATAAAATCCTACATAAAAATATGTTCCAGTGTGCATATATACGCAATCTCGAAAGACGATTTTCGAAGTAATAACATGGTTGCAAGTATTGATTAGGAAACGTAAATCACCGGCCCCTAATTGAACAATTTAGAGTGCTAAGATTCCAGTTAGGCAGTTCCAGTATACTGGCAGCACGCGCGCGAGTGCGAGATTCTTTTAAAACAACCTGCCGCGCCGCCACAACTGGGCGTTTATGCCAGTTTCGATGAATCGGTAATTAATTTAACGAGGAAATTTCGCAAGGCATGGCGCAAGCGCGGACCGGGTAAGATAAATTTTTTTCACGAGAAGAACGATGGCAGTTGCCCTATGGAAACCAGTCGCGCGGCCAGCCGATCGGTGACAAATGTAGAAAGCTGGTTGCAACTGATCCGTTACGTTGCATTTACTTCGGCGACGAGAGCCGTTTTTCGAGAGCAAACCTTTGTATCGATTCAGGGACGTATACGTGCGAGCTCAGCAATTCGTTCGTTTCGCGTAGAATTGTTTCTTCTTTCGATCGTTGCACCGCCGTATGCTCGCGATCAGGATTTCTTTCCGTCACCTAACTTTCTCCTTAATACGTAGTCGACAGAACGAGTTTGTTTCATTTTGCCGTACGTTTAAAAATACTGTCTCGCTGGGAATTATTTTAGTGTCCCGCCGCACGACTCCTGCGGCGACAGATCAATGTATCCGATATATGTAAATAATAATTTATTCGACGCGAAACTAATTAAAATTCCGCACCGTGAACACTAGGCGACGTCGTCGTGCATTTCCAGCAGATTCGACTGGCAAACAAAGGGCAGCATATCACGATAAACTTTAATATAGGATTCGGTAACTTTTAACTGACGAAGCTAGTGCAGATGATAAGTTTTTAGTCAATTCATTTGCATTTATTTATGTGTACTGACGTTTTGAAAATTGTTGGTGTATACTAATTTTTGTCCCGGTAAACGGTTTACCGATTTTCGGTACTCTCATCTGGGTAGCAAAAATAGTATGTCTGGATAAAGTACATGTATAGGCAGCGATCCAATTATATAACGTCGGTGCTTATCACATAAACGAATGAACGTTAGCGGAGAGAATTAATGGATGGCCTCTTGTTAGCCAAATGATCCGATTATGGGATTTCGTTCTCTGGTTCATTTCGAAGGGGCACAAATCACTTCGATCCATTTTCTCAAAAGGTGATTCGTGTTATGTTAAAAAAGAACGACTAAAAATCGTAGGGTAAGGTAATCAAAGATCGAATTTCGAAACAGATTTGAGCGTTTGTTATTTCAGAACTTCGTGTTCTGCGACGATAATCAAATGAAATATGTGGCATAGTCGGATGCTGACCAAACTGCATCGATTCCTAAAATTCATTTGTGCTTTGACCATTGTAATGTTTCATAAATTTTGCATTCGTTAAATCTTTCGATTGCCCTATATTTCGTCAACTCGATTTGACCATAAATGTATACTTCCAAACTTCTCCGACGTCTAATGAATTCACGTGTTGGTTACAGTTATTATAGAACACTAAATGTACGTGGACGTGTGATTAGTGTGTAATACCGGACATTTTCGGTTTCAGCCCGATTGACAGGATGTCAAAAAATCAGCAACAAAATGGAATGATACCAGGCGGTGGAGCGGACGATTTTTCAGACGGCGAGAGCACCCCACTGACTCAGGACTATGGCGACAGGTATGTATCCTTCGAAGAGACTTCGGTATGTAATCGAACATTGTATGTTCTTTTGCTGCTTTAAAATAAGAAGGGAAGGCGGCGTGGTCATTATTTGCTCCCCGAATCGACTCGCATTCCACAATAACTTGCTGGTTTTGCGTAAAAATGCTGCTCCGCTTCTTGTTCTAGCCAGTTTTGTAATTGGCAGTCCATTCCAGCCAGTTTTATTCGTTTCATAATACGTACTATAACCATGCACGGTAAAGTATTACTATAACTCTTAATTCCAAAGCAATTTAATCCTTTGCACTCGAAGCTATTTTAATTTCGAATTCAAAATTGTTTCTCTGACTTACAGTATTTCCATTTTGTGTTACTTAAGTGCATATATATGAAATTGAATTTTGTGACTCGTGCAACAATTACACTTTTAACAGTTTTTAAAATATAAACTAATTTGATAATGTTAAAATTAACTTTAAATGTTATGCAACGATTTTAAGCGGTGAGTCGGAGTCACCAGTCGAATGCAAAGTTAGGGTTAATATTGAATTTATCTTCGCATGCCTGCAACACCGAATTTCATTTTAAAACGTAGAACTTTTTAAATGAAAGAAATATTTCTTTTATGTGCCAAAAGATTCGATGTGATAAAAATCAAATAAAAATATTATTCATTAACTTATAGTTTAGAAATTTGCGTATACTATATAAGTGCAGAAAGATTTTTATCGTTTAACTTTTATGAAATTTTTATCGAATATTAACACTAACCGTACCGTCGCCGGTCAAATGACCGATTCAACAGATTTCATCCCACGAGTATTGAAATCAAAAAGACACGTCTACTAGAAATCATTAAATAGATTTATTCATTCTAACATATATTGACATGAAAATTGCGAAAATCTAAGAAAACTTGATCTCGTAATTTTTATAAGGCTTAAAAGTTTCAAGAAACGAGCAAATTTTAGCTCACTTTGGATCGTTACAAATCATGCTCCTAATTCATTCGCGTAAACATCCGCTGCCTAAATGCGGGAAAGCATTATATCAGCTGAAAGCAGTGTGATCAACGAGGTGTGAATACTTTCTTCTGCATTCATTCCGTATTCCGAGTATCCACCTTACCGATTAATTACTAGCCACTGTTCTAATTATAAATTGTTGTACTACTTTGACGTGAATCGTGTTTGTCGTTGCAGTCAGAGGACTGTCGTGGAAACGAAAGGATGGGACGTGTTCCGGAATCCACCGCCGAAAATCGATTCCGGCTCGATGGCGAATCAAAGATGCCTCGAGATGACGGTACAGATCACGAAAGTCGTTGTATACTTCTTAGTTTTTGTGATAGTGTTAGGAAGCAGTGCAGTTGCAAAAGGAACAATTTTATTCATGACGTCGCAGCTCAGATCCAATCGCTCGATTGATTATTGCAATAGGCAGTTAGGTAAGTGATTGAAAAATTTTCAAAAAGTCAGTCGCAACACGACATAGACGCAAACGGGAGATAAATTAATACTGGAAACGTTCGTTATCTAATTATACGAACGCGCGGCGCGATGAAATATGCCACCGGGAAAAAGTTTCGCGCGTCGGTGCACTTGGCGAGCACACTCTTATTGCCAGTTTTAGAGAAAGAGAAACGCATAATAAATCCGCGATGTCCGTACGAAAGTTAAATTTTCGCTCTACTTAGAAATTATCGGTAAAAACTGGGACGACCGGTCTGTTCGTTTCGAACGCTCTGGCAGGATTATAATTTATATGTGTAAAGCAAACCGTCGAAACCCGTGCAACGTAATGTTAAAAGTGGATCGTTCTCGTAACATAGTTACGACGAAGTGTTTTTTGCCGCGAGCGTGTACCTACGCTTCACGGTGGAAGCAAAGAGAGAAAGTACGTGAAAACAGGTTGAAACACCGTGCGATATGTTGACCATCCAAGCGAAGTTCTAGAAAAATAAACTCCGGATGAAAGTAAATTCAGTAAATCCGCTTCGTTTTTATAGTTGTTGACAATCGGCAATTATAAAAACGAGCCGCGAGGCTCGAATAATCGCATCTCCTCTCTCCAAATTGTTCATTTTCTTTACAATTTGAAGGACAACTGGAGAGAATTTACTGTATAACTTTGCAGCTATCTACAGGTAGGAAAGACCGATGACGGTTGTAACACGGGGACGATAGTACACGTTAAATATCTCAAAATATACGATAGGTATTATTAGACGGTTCATATATATAATGTCAAATGACATTTGGAACACACTCATTTATCATACTTAGGTAAATAGGAAATATACATTTGCATAAGGAAGAAAATGATTTCTCGGCACCTAAACGCTTACTTTCCTTACTGTTTTAAAATCGTGATAAACTGCGTTTTTAGTAAATATGTTCTTTCTTCTTGTTTTAAATCTCTAATTTCATATGTTTTAAAAAAATACTGATAGTTACTTTGCATTAATAAGCGTGTCATATATAACAATTTATAATTAAAATTTGAAAGTGCGGTCGGAAACGATTATAACTCAATTGTTAGAAATTCCTACGCCCATGTTTCTTCATCGTATAATTTAAATAAGTACCTATATTTATTAGGTACTTATTTAGGTCAATTAATAAATTTAAACATAATTTTATATTTTAATAAATTTAGCTATTATTTAATATCATAATTAAACTTTTAGAATGTCTCGTATAAAAATTAGAAAAACTAGCAAAGGAATCATGGATATAAAAGCATACGAAAATGGTGAGGAACCTTATAGCACAAGCAAATTTAATGTAAAATGGGTCTAATGTTGTGGCTGTAGTGACTGGGCACCTAAAGAATGCCATGCTGTGTTACAACCGACCCGAAGTCGGGGTTGGTTGTAACGTTTTATCCGCTTCCGATGTTTTATTAATAACTTGGATATTTTTTAATGTACAAGAAAATCACTGTAACTGAATAATCTCAGATAAGTAGGTAAGAGGTTCGTACAATAATTGTACGTATTGTATGTGTTGTAAATACAATAGTTTATGTGTAATCCTGTTCTAAAATCGGAATGTTACAACCATCATCGACTTTTCTTATGCGCCATCTGCAACAGTTCTTTTCATAGCGGATTAATTAATCGCAAACGTTAGCGCATGTCGCGGTGGAAAGATGTAGCCGTGTTTGAACTTTGAACTTTTGAACATTAAAAGTGTGAATTCTCAATACCTGCGGTAAAATGATTTCGCGATCAGTTTTTATGAAACTCGGCTATGAAACATTTTCGTACGAATTATTAAAAAAACATGCACATTTCAAGTAAATTGATACTTGAAAATATTTATTTGCGTAAAAATATTGATGTCGATTAAAGTTAATTGGCAATCGAACAATCACGTCCACGTGTTTGTGCTAGTTAAAACAGAGACCGCACCGATGGTATTTCGTTTATTTAGATATCTTGTTTCTTTGAATGAACTTTTAATTATTTCTACGAAATAAGAAACAATTGAACTCTTGCGTTACATTGCAAAATTCCGAAACACGATATCGAATTTAAAAGCAATTACGAGCAGATTTTAACATTCTATAAGCACGGACGGTGATTGATTTATTTCCCAGCGGTCTGGTGATTACCGAATACTGTGACAGCTGTATTTTTCAAACTACGAAACGTTGACCGGACACATTAGTTCCTGGTGACATCGACTTTTCCGGGCGCAATGTGTTACAAATTACGTGATTGTTTCGTGCGACAGGTCGGGAGAAACAATTTATAGCAACGCTGCCAGAAGAAGAGAGGATAGCGTGGATCTGGTGCATCATAATCGCGTTCGCCGTGCCAGAGTTCGGCACGTTGATCCGCAGCATTCGAATATGCATCTTCAAGTCGTGGAAGAAACCACCGCCTTCTCATTTCCTTATCGTTTTCCTCATGGAGACCTTTCACGTGGTCGGGCTGGCACTAATGTTTATGGCAGTGCTTCCTGATTTGGATGTCGTCAAAGGTGCGATGCTGACGAACTGCGTGTGCTTCGTACCTGGACTGCTAGGTAAGGAACGCTGGCCGACGATAATTAAAACATTAAACGTTTCGTCAGTCATTTTTAATCGCACCAAGCTCCATCAAATTGGATACAACTAATTTCGCAATTAGCGAAATCGAATGAATGCTAACCGACTCGGTGATAACTTGACACTTTGTCGATGTTTCTCACACGTTCTCCAGAATTAGCTGCACCGAGTATCCTTCTGCCGTTTTCATTCAGTTTTGTTTTACATTTCGATTCGACCGACTGCATTTTACTCGTGGTCTCATATTTTAAAGGCATAAAATAAAGCAAAATGAAGTAAAGGCATACAAAGATTTTATACGTTGTAAAATACATAGTGGATCATTTTCTCCAGAAGACTGCCAACAAATTTTTTATGAATCCGTTACTCTTGTAAATAATAATAACATGTGTAGCAAATTACAATACAATCGTAAAAAGATAAAAAGGATTTCATGCTTTATGAAAATAGATTCTGAAAGTGACTTCTTCGTCCACGACTGAAATTTTCATTACAATTGCGTAGTTTGTTATAATAATTTATTAGGAAAATTCTCAAATCTTGTTTAAGGCTTGCTCGTGTTTGTAAGTTTGTTTCGCTGTTTGTTATAATAATTTATTAGGAAAATTCTCAGATCTTGTTTAAGGCTTGCTCGTGTTTGTAAGTTTGTTTCGCTGTTTGTTATAATAATTTATTAGGAAAATTCTCAGATCTTGTTTAAGGCTTGCTCGTGTTTGTAAGTTTGTTTCGCTGTTTGTTATAATAATTTATTAGGAAAATTCTCAGATCTTGTTTAAGGCTTGCTCGTGTTTGTAAGTTTGTTTCGCTGTTTGTTATAATAATTTATTAGGAAAATTCTCAGATCTTGTTTAAGGCTTGCTCGTGTTTGTAAGTTTGTTTCGCTGTTTGTTATAATAATTTATTAGGAAAATTCTCAGATCTTGTTTAAGGCTTGCTCGTGTTTGTAAGTTTGTTTCGCTGTTTGTTATAATAATTTATTAGGAAAATTCTCAGATCTTGTTTAAGGCTTGCTCGTGTTTGTAAGTTTGTTTCGCTGTTTGTTATAATAATTTATTAGGAAAATTCTCAGATCTTGTTTAAGGCTTGCTCGTGTTTGTAAGTTTGTTTCGCTGTTTGTTATAATAATTTAGTAGGAAAATTCTCAAATCTTGTTTAAGGCTTGCTCGTGTTTGTAAGTCTGTTTCGCTGGAAGTTAGAATAAATGTTTGACATCGTGTCTTTGCGATCAGCGGTTATTTGACAATACGATAAGTGCGTATAGAAAATACAATTTATCATCTAAGAGTACAATAGAGATATCCGATCTCCATTGAAGGTAAGATACGATGGAAGTGTGTGTTCGAAAATATTTGCGTCATTGGTGTGCCACTGGAAACGAAGACAGTGAGCCGATTGCGGATTTTATGCATTCGTGATAAAAAATATGCGTGAATTAGGTAACCTCGAATTAATTTGAGACGCGGATAAATTTGTTTCTTCAAGGGCTACTGTCTCGGAATAAAAACAAAGACGAGTCGAAAAGATTTGTGTTGGTGCTGATCGATATTGCCGCGCTCGCAGCCCAAGGAACAAGTTTCTTCCTCTGGCCGTTATTGGATAGCTCGCGACCATCTCTATGGCTGATACCACCGGCGCTGTTCCTGGTCTCCTGCGGATGGTGGGAAAATTACATTTCCATGCAGAGTCCAATCGGTAAGTAATATCGTATCGATAAAAAGACCGTGAAACCGCAACTATTGTCCGCGGGACCGTTGATGAAACGCGATGGAGAGCGTTTGTCTCTCAGCGCGGGGGGTCGTAGAAACATTATGAAACTACTATAGTCCGGATCCCGTAGAGTTTTAAAGTTTAATGACACGAAGCATGTGAAATCATCTGTAATGTTCGCTTCCGTTTTCCTTCTCTTGTGGCTTAGTTATTCTTGGAGACGTTAGACCACTTTCGTTAAAGGCCGGTCCCTGCGGTCGACAGACAATACGCGTGTGCAAAGCACCGTGATTTAACCTTTGAGATACCAATACCAGCCGGTATTTCGCGGCAACTTTCTGGATGCTAATCGAAACGAGCGTGAACACCGCTTTCAACATTTTCATCAAGCCAGGGGTTTCAACGCGTCGCACAGTGAAATGTTTACCCGATTTCGTCGGGCAAAATTAATTTCCAAACTTGACTTGTCTAAAAAATATCTATCAATTTATTTAGAGAATTTTAACTTTAGTATTTCAACTGTAGTATTATAAACAAATAAGAATTTTTATTAAATAATCAAAATATTATGTTTATTATTTAACGGACTCAAAACGTGTTTATTTATTTATTTATGATATTTTAACATAGCGGGAGCAATTTTAAACATTAAGAAACAAATATTATTATTATTATTATTTGCATTGTGTGAAGGATATGAAATGATTGAAAAATATGTAAAAGAAATCGAAAAACGATCAAGAGCAGCTTAAACATCACGAAAAAATATGTGATATCATTAACAAGTATTGAAAACTGTTTGAAATTTGTGCAGCGTAACGTACTAGCTACACAACACTGAATACACTTGTGGATATTTTAAGATAATTGGCTAATTGTTTTAACGCAATGAAATCCATTATAGCGGAAACGTGTTCCTTTCAATCTTTTCACCAGTGCTGGGGAAAAATAGATTTTTGAAATAGTAAATGGACTATAAACATTTGTATCTTCTCGTGTTATACGAAATGGCAAATAAACTGTTTTCGAAATAGTAATTACATATATTACATACTATTTCAAGGAAAGTATATTTGCCAAATTCTGTATTACGTGAGGTGATATGATCTATTTCAAAAATCTATTTTTCCCCAGCACTGCTTTTCACACATTCTGCACTCTGTACAATTTAGTCACCGATGCTCGTCAGTTACGAGTATCGTTTGTTTCGAAGTACCTTGTCCGTCTAGTGTTCGGTGTTAATGGAATGGTATCGTCGCCGTTTTTCTTTGCAGGGTTCGTTCGGTCGCTGGGAAGAGTGAAGAAGGAATTGAAACTGACACGATACTTCACCTACATGTTCATATCCGTTTGGAAGATCGTGGCTTTCTTTATCAGCACGCTGCTAATACTTTACATGAAAGGTGATACCGTCGGACACTTGTTCACGATGTTAAGCAGCGCCTTCGGGAGCCATCAGATTACTGTGTCGCAAGTGCGATTCGACACGTCCAGTAGGATCACTGATATTGCGGACGTGTTGGAAACCGGCGAGAAAATACTGCGACCGGCGGACACGATCACTCCAATTTACGTTCTGCTATTGCAAATATTTGGCGCTTACTTCGCATACATTTTTGGTAAATGCATTTCACTAATTGAACCCTTGTTCAATGTTTGATATCCGATCTGGCCGACACACTTTCATTTCGCGCGTATACAAATTACGCGGTTGAATTCATCTCGAGAGTCAATGAAACTTTTATAAACCGCAGTTAAAGCACGAAATAAATATTTTATTTTGATAACGTAAAACATAAAATAAAATAGTCTTTTGGTAATCTAAAGTTAAATCTCATGAAAACAGATATTTCATCTTGATGATCTAAAACACAAAATAAAATAGTTTTTATTTTAATAACATAAAGACATAAAAACAAATGAAATTTATCGTCTTTTTAAATACAGCTATTCGCATGTAACAAAGTGCATTTTTTATGTACATTTATAATGCAGAGTACATACTTCGTTCGTTTTAGATTACCAAAATAAATTTTTCATTATGATTTAGTAAAGTAAAATTATTGAAGTTGTGAAATGTTTATTTTTAATTCAGCTATTGATTCCATCTGCGGTGAATAAAACTACTGCAATTAACGAATGAGTCCGAAAATACAAAAGAATTCGTTCTAAACGGTAATGCGACGGGAGAACTGTAAATGTGACCGATGTTTTACGATTTCCAGGAAAATTCGCCTGCAAAATTCTGATCCAGGGATTCAGTTATGCGTTCCCTGTGAATCTGACGATACCGGTGTCGATCTCGTTATTGATCGCCGCCTGCGGTTTACGAAACGGCGATCCCTGCTTCTTCCACGGCACAATTCCGGATTATCTGTTCTACGAGTCGCCGCCCTTGTACTTCCTCAATGATTTCGTGTCGAAACAATACGCCTGGGTATGGCTGCTGTGGCTGCTGTCACAAACATGGATCACTCTACACGTATGGACACCGAAGTGCGAACGTCTGGCTGCCACGGAGAAGCTATTCGTGGTGCCTATGTACGATTCCCTGCTGATCGATCAGTCGATGGGTCTGAATAGGAAACGAGACGATCAACCGGAAGTGAAAGTCGAGGTACATAACTTCCATTGTTGCACCTGGAAGGAACGTCCGCTTCAAAATTGCCCGCTGTTTCCTAGCTGTTAGAAAATCAGTGAAAACCCTCGTTAGTCTCGTGATAAATTCTGTTATCCTTTCTATCACATTGTGATTTTTCTTGAACTCTCGTTTGAGGTCTTTGACGGTCCTATGATACCGTTTAATTCAATGTACAGTTTTGATGTTTCTCAATTGCCTCGATCCTCTATAGCTCGAATTATTAATGTGGGTTTAAAATAATTTATATAACTTAGACCTACTACATGTCAGTTTATAACTTTATTTATTTGAACGTATAATTATAAAGAGAAAGAATAAACCGAAATACTCTTACCACGGTGTAACTAAAGATAAAGTTACATAGAGCTATAAAAGGTACTTATATATTTTATCCACTGTCAGACTTTCGAAAATCCAGATTTAGTAACCGAGAACGTCTAAATACATCTTTCAACGATAATTTAATTTTAAAGGATGCTAAGTTTCCTTTAGATACAACGAAGTGATTAAAACTTCTACCTACTAACAGGCATCGGGCAGCTAATATGTAATAATTTTCTATTTAGGGTAGATGTCTCAGTTTCCAAGGTCTATTATCAATTTCCGCGCCCCTGGATTAAAAACGTATAGAAAAGAAAAATTTTATATACAAATTGATGATCTATATTTTTGTATTATGTTTATAAATCAGCGTGTAAGATTCAGATAGAGGGATCAATTTACATACAAAACTTTTCTTTTTCTATACGTTTTTAATCCGGGGACATGGAAATTAGTAATAGACGCGGAAACTGGGACATCTGTCTGGGACATCCTTTTCAAATTTTAAATTGAAATTATCAGACATTGTCAAATAAATAACGTTTGGAATTTCCGAATGAAAATCTTACGAGGATTAAAAACAAATCTCAATTAACAATCTCTTTCTAACAAATAACGAAGCGGTTCTTTCTGAAACTTTTCGAATAATTTGTCTCATATCTACGAAATGTTTGGTAATTTTTTCATCGGAAAGTACGTGATAGAAGTGGAAATAAGTTCCGAAACCATAAAGATAAGATACAAAATTGTCGAGACGACAGTATCTTGTGGAGAAAGGTGTAGAGAAGCTCGACCCGCAAAGCCATTGAACCGTGTCCAATATCAGCTTAGAGGAACTGATCGAATTAGGTTCATCGACGGTCCATCCCAACGAGAAAAACGTAGTCACTTTTGTGCGAAAACCTTAAAATGATGCTTTCTGCTGAACAGGATCTCGCGGAGATAGAGAAGGAAAAGGGAGATGGAGATTACGAAACCATATACGAGCGTACTGACGGCTCAACTACACCCCCGTCGGCCGTAAAAAGCAGCGATCACGTAACTAGGATCTATGCCTGCGCGACGATGTGGCACGAGAACAAAGAGGAAATGATGGAGTTCTTAAAGAGTATTCTGCGCCTGGACGAGGATCAATGCGCGCGGCGTGTCACCCAAAAATATTTGAAGGTTGTCGACCCGGATTACTACGAATTCGAAAGTAAGTCAGCCAGCCTTTCTACGGATTCTTAACTCGAACTGATCCGCGGGCAAACGGATTTTACAAATATCCAGCCGGCATAGTTCTCTGCATAAAATGTGCAATGCGTTGAAAGAACGACGAGACCGAAACACGCAGAACCCTCGATCTTTGACCTTTGGTTGAACGAAACACGTTTAGTAGAAATATTACGAAACAAGGAAAATTTGTTTACCAGATGATGCAGAAATTCTTCGTGCCTTTTTATCGATTTTTATCATTTCGTTAGATTTTCGCAAAATTCCTTCGATTTTCTCTTCGATCCTTCTTCGAATCCTTCTCTTTTTCACAATGGTTCGTATATTCTGCTGCAAACGTTCGTGCATTATTTTCGTTGATGTTTCAAATTTCGTAACAATTAGAAATTAATTACGAAATAAATTATTCACGGTAATTAGTGAGCACTTAGAAAAATGTTAATCGCCCGTTCTTGAGATGCTGTTGCTGAAATATTTCACGTATCTTTGCTGTTGCGATTTTATATGGGGTTAAAGAACGGTTACTGCGTCCGCGATCCGTTTGCACAGGTGTGTACGTGACGCGAATCCGTTTTCTTTTTTCCAGCGCATATATTTTTCGACGATGCGTTCGAGCTGTCGGACCACAACGAGGACGAGTTGCAGGTGAACAGATTCGTGAAATTGTTGGTGGGCACCTTGGACGAGGCCGCGTCGGATGTTCATCAAACGAGAATGCACGTCAGAGCCGCGAAGAAGTATCCGACTCCTTATGGTGGAAGACTGGTATGGACGTTGCCCGGCAAAACGAAAATGATTGCCCATCTGAAAGATAAGAGCAAAATTCGTCACAGGAAACGCTGGAGCCAGGTATAGTGTTCGTTTCATCCTACTCGCTGGATGCAGGGGTTTATGGAAATACAGAATTTTATGAACTCTAAGTCGCGAGAGCGGGATCGAATACAAATGTGCTATGATTTTACTCGTATTTTCATTAGCAAGAAAATCGAAAATCGTGTTATACTTTCAATCGTGGCTCCATTCTACTTAAAATTACATCAAGACTGTGTACGATAACCCGTTAGGTTAAAAATTATACAACAGTTCCCCATCTCTCTCTCCTGGACTTTCGAATAGAAACGTAATAAACTTTTTAACAAATTTCCAAATTAACGAATAAAATTTTATTCGACATTATCGATTAAATATCCAATCGAATAAAAATGTATATAGATAAAAGAAGAATTCATTTATTCGAATAAATAAATAGAACAATTTATGATGAATAAATAGATAGAATAATTTATGATGAATAATTCTTTATTTTTAACGTATAATGAATAATCGTTATTTAAATAAAATATTAGACAAAATTTGGATAATTATCGTCGATAAATATTTATTTGAAACAGTTCAATAACTGTACACTCTGTCACGAGTGTACAGTGTACAAACCAATGAGCATTCTAGGATTATAAATATCTGTTGTAATATCCATGCATTAATAATTGTTCGATCAGTACGGAAAACCCAGTACTGTAAGTTGAAGGAACTCGTAACAGAAAGATCAAGCATGAAAGCGATCCTGTAGCATCTAGAAAAAATGTTAAAAATCGTTTTCCTCCCGGATTAAACAAAGGAAATATATGAGTCGTGCAAATAATTATATTTTGTATGAATTTGTTTTCTTCAGGTCATGTATATGTACTACTTGCTTGGACATCGGCTGATGGAGTTACCAATCAGTGTTGATCGCAAAGAAGTGATTGCGGAGAATACTTACTTATTGACACTTGACGGTGATATCGATTTCCAACCGGCAGCCGTGAAATTGCTCGTCGACTTGATGAAAAAGAATAAAAATCTTGGTGCAGCTTGCGGTCGTATTCATCCCGTTGGTTCAGGTCGGTCCTGTTGAAAAAAAACATTAATAGATAATTTACAATTAACTGTAACGATCCAGTGAGGAGATAAACTTTAGCGAAGCCATACACAAAGGAACTCTTTGCGGGCCGGACTTAATAGAAATCCTCTTAGTACGAAGGATTTCCGTGACTTGGGCGAGTTTGCAGAACGCGCCTGCAATGTTTAATAAATTATGAAGGCTCGAGGGAAGAGAAATTATCTCTAGCAAACTTGAATCAAACAGAATTTTAGCAGTGACAATGAAAATATACGAAAATATTATACGAAATAATTGAAAATTCGGGATTTTCTTTTCCGGAACTGTAAAAGTTCATCCAAAAATTATTCTTGCGTTTTAAATAGCGCATTTTGGAAAGTACCTCATAACTTTTTCATTCAAGAATACTTATTAATTACAAAGTTGTGGCCAATCTCCCGAAGACCTTGTTATAAGAAAGACTTTGTTGTTCAGCGATATTGCTGAAAGTCTTTTTGATACTCCTTGAAGTAAACCACTTTCAACGTACAGTTTAATCTTACAGTTTTCTAGAAAAAAGTTCCCACTACTTCAGCGTTTTCAGTCTTTTACAGTAATTTTTCCCAATTTGGGAAGAGGAGATACGATTATTCGAGCTTTGCGGCTCGTTTTTATAGTTACCCATTGTCAACAATTATAAAACGGATTTTATGCATTTACGACAAAAATACATAGGTCAAATATAAAATTGTAAGATAATTAGAAGAATTTGAGGATATTGTTAGTTTCAACTTATTATAATTATTAAAAGAAGAAAGATATCTTCAACGAATTTATGTTTCTTACGATTAACTTGAACAACGTTTATTTTGCATAAAAATCCGCAGTCTACTCATCTAGTATCTCAAATTGTATAGTGTTAAAAGTAAACAATTTATTTCTATAAATATATAATATAATATAATATAATATAATATAATATAATATAATATCTGTCTCTTATACACATCTAGATGTGTATAAGAGACAGATATAATATAATATAATATCTGTCTCTTATACACATCTAGATGTGTATAAGAGACAGATATAATATAATATAATATCTGTCTCTTATACACATCTAGATGTGTATAAGAGACAGATATAATATAATATAATATCTGTCTCTTATACACATCTAGATGTGTATAAGAGACAGATATAATATAATATAATATCTGTCTCTTATACACATCTAGATGTGTATAAGAGACAGATATAATATAATATAATATAATTAGCATTTAATATCAAAAAATATTAATTTTTGCTAACGACCACAACACATTACACGTTGTCTATTAGGCTATTATCTTCCTGTTTACGGAATCACTGAATTTTTCCGACTCACTGTCTCGTTGCCGTAGCTCGTGTACACGTTAAAAATGGCTGCCTCTACGTTCTGTTTCCTTTTTTATGTCAGGTCCTATGGTATGGTATCAGATGTTCGAGTACGCGATTGGTCATTGGCTGCAAAAAGCAACCGAACACATGATCGGTTGCGTGCTCTGCAGTCCTGGTTGTTTCTCGCTCTTCCGAGGAAAAGCTCTGATGGATGATAACGTGATGAAAAAGTACACCACTAGATCCGATGAGGCAAGGCATTACGTTCAGTACGATCAGGGAGAGGATCGATGGCTTTGTACGCTGCTCCTGCAACGTGGCTACAGGGTATGTACTTTAAAGGACGTTGCAAGCTTCATTGAATATTTACAACGCGATCAAGAGCGCAATAAAAAAGCGAGAAAATCGTTGCGCCAACGCTGACGCGCTTCATTTGCTTCTATATAAAACTGACAATACGAAGATTAGCAAAGGTCCATTTGAAAAGTTTTATGCAGATTGTCGATTCAGAAGTACATTCGACCCAGTCGACGATAGATATGCAACCAATTACATTATTATTCACTACAAGTGATTGGCAAAAAACTATGAATTTTATTGGGAATCTTCACCAATGTATTGGCTCTATATTTATATTCTTTTTTAGTTTAGTTTTTGATCGTACTCTTCTTTATTCTGTTTTATTGAAATTTCAAACGAATATCTCTCTTTCCAACGTTATAACTTTGATTTCTTTGTGATTTTCAAAAATATTTTATTTTCATTACAATATTTTCAATATCCGAAATTAAGCACAGAAATTTTCGATTGAGCTAACGCAGTCGCAAATCTCTTTAAAATGAAGCTCGATATCGTTTACTAGGAATTTTCAGACAGTTTAGTTGCACGAGCACGAAACGAGTTGAACGATAATATAAAAAGAACTCGACATCGTACGAATCGGTTTTTTATTCGTACCGCAGGTCGAGTACTCAGCTGCCAGCGACGCTTACACCCACGCGCCTGAAGGATTCAACGAATTTTACAATCAACGTCGTCGATGGGTACCCTCGACCATAGCCAATATCATGGACCTTCTGATGGATGCGAAGCGAACGATCAAAATCAACGACAACATATCTCTTCCCTACATTTCCTATCAGATTCTACTCATGGGTCAGTGAAATGTTTATTCGACAACTTAAATTTTTTTTTGGAATGGTTACATTCTTTCGAAATAATGCCATTTATTCTTCCCCAATAGTTCGTTTTCATCTCAATTTTGAATTTCTTTTACCACGCTACTACTGCAGCTGCAACTTTAAAGAAAATTGCTATTATTTCTGAACAAAATTTTAGTATATTTCTCGAATGTTAGTTTACGAGTATGCCGAGTTTCTAGTTTCAATACCGAATATTTTTCTTTTAAAGAATTCACAAAAGTCGCTTTGTAATCTGGGAGGATCTTTTCAATTCTATCATTGTCTACGAAAGACTTTTTCTAATTTCAATAATTTGAAACAAAATATGTGGAACCGGTCATATTTTGACCGGAATGGTTGGTTCAGAGTCAATGTTGCCCTTTTCAAGGTCTTCAGATTTCTTCGTTATCGTTGTAGGCGGCACCATTTTGGGACCGGGCACGATTTTCCTCATGTTGGTGGGCGCGTTCGTGGCAGCCTTCAAGATCGATAACTGGACCAGCTTCTACTACAACATCATTCCCATTCTTTTGTTCATGCTCATATGTTTTACGTGTAAGGCAAACATACAGGTAAGACGACCGATTCGGCGTGCGTGTGACGAATCGATCTATACGTCGTGATGGTGTTAGTAACGTTGTTGTCTTTCAGCTTTTGTGCGCGCAAATATTGTCAACAGGATACGCGATGATAATGATGGCCGTGATCGTAGGTACTGCCCTCCAGCTCGGAGAGGACGGTATCGGATCACCTTCGGCCATATTCTTGATATCCTTATCCAGTTCCTTTTTTATAGCGGCTTGTTTGCATCCGCAAGAGTTCTGGTGTATCGTGCCCGGAATTATTTACCTGCTCTCGATCCCATCCATGTATCTGCTTTTGATCCTCTATTCGATTATCAATTTGAACGTCGTCACGTGGGGCACCCGCGAAGTACAAGTGAAAAAGACGAAAAAGGTTCGTTCCCGCAAAGTCATCATTGAATTTAGCTTTGCTCTGCTATCTTCTAAGAAATGACTAATCTCTTCGTTAGGTGGTTGGGGATTCGCGAATGACTTTCAAAAATTTCTTCGGGAAAGATAATTTGTCACTAATCGAGCTCATGGACAGTTGGTGAAGGAAGTAAGATGTGCTGTGTCTTGCCCAGAAGAAGTTCGCTGAGAAAAATGTAGGATCGATCCTTACCAATTTACTGATTCTAACGCCATCGAAGAAGTAGGGTAAACGCGTTTTCTTTATTGGCAGAAATGATTCCTTCCTATCAGCCGTAAGTGTCGATGGCTAATTACCGCCGCAGCATCTCGTTCAATCGTGGTCGCCCAAATACTACACGCAATAGGAATGGTTTTCGTAGTGTCATAGAAGAGTGGGCAACCCTTTTGCCACTGTACCGTAACGGCCGACTTCTTCCGAACAAGGCACAGTATAGTCCTCGTGCGACAAGAAGGCACTTTTGGGTTTACATTCCCCTTATTGACCGCTATTGGCCGAAAACGGTGACAAAGATCGACGGCGATCGATAGCAACCGATAGTTGCTGTAGTGGGGCAGTTAGTAAGAGGAGGAATATAAACATAAAGGTGCCTCCTTGTTGCGTGAGGACTATACATACACTTACGAACAAAAGTTAAGAAACACTTTTTTAAACGCAATAATTCTTTTAAAAGTGGACTGAATGACTGGAATTTTTGTTAAACATATCAGAGGGACTAGTTTGCTGTACAATGACTAAAATTCTCCTTTTTTAATTTTGCTATTGATTGGAATGACATAAAAAGAGAGAAAAATCTCTCGTTTCGTAACTTTTTTATCTGAGTCTACGACAGAAATATAAAAAGTGCGTTTCGTAGATCTCGGTAACTTATATGCATGATGAAAATTTTATCGAAATCGGTTGACGTTTTTATGAGTTAAACGAATTAAAAATGGCAAAAATCGCAAATGACCGAAAAAACTGTAAGAAATCTGCAGTTTTTTAAAATCTTTCGACGCCTGCAGCTCGACTCTAGATTAACCGATTCCGATCAAATTTTCACCATTTTTTAAATTTTCGTTATAGACTCAGATAAAGAAGTTAAAAAACGAGAGTTTTCATACTTTTCTTTGTCATTCCAAGTAATAGCAAAATGAAAAAGAAGCATTTTTGTCATCGTCTAATAGACTAATCTCTCTAATATGTTTAACAAAAATTCAATTCATTTAGTTCAGTTTTAAAAAGGTTATTGTATTTTAAACGGTGTTTCTTAACTTTTGTCTGTAAGTGTACATCTTTAATGTATAATTGTTATTAACATGACAAATCTCCGAACACAGATTGCGCTTTTTCGTTTGCATACGTATGTTCTGCTTTCTTTGTAACATAAGATTGTGCATGGCATTTGAGCCAATTTAATTATACTACAGTTCAATGAAACTGTACTGCTGTTTAATTATAGTGTACTCTAGTCCCATAGTGAATTGAGCCAATTTAATTATACTACAGTTCAATGAAACTGTACTGCTGTTTAATTATAGTGTACTCTAGTCCCATAGTGAATGGCCTATGTTTTCATTCGATCACGTTGTAATCGGATCAGATTCTTCAATAATTGCTAATCGTTTCGTAATGCAATTGAAATACAATACTGTCGAAATGCATTGAACACAGAAAAGTTTATTTCTGGTTAGGGTATTACGAATTTACGAACAGCATCATATCTGTCCCTGTTAATAATTGTTTTCTATTTGTGATCTTTACGTGGTGTCTTCCTTTAATTACAATACTAACAACACTGCACTACAGGTGTTCGTAGCAGGAATATTCAGCGCACTTTACGGCATGGTGATGGTCTCTGTCTTCGTTGGGATCGCGATAAACGTCGTCGAGGATGGCACAGCACTATCTCCGTCGGCTCTATTTCTAATGATGATGATTGGTCAACTAGTGATAGCCGCGTTTATGCACCCTTCGGAATACTATTGCTTTAAATATATTGTTGTATACATCATAACACTACCCTCAATGTACTTGCTGCTTATTGTTTACTCAGTCGTTAATCTGAATGACATTACCTGGGGCACGAGGGAGGTGAAGAAAAAATTAACGGCAAAGGTAATTAATTGTGCAACTAATCAACTAACCAGTTAGTTCATTATTAATTTTGCGCCTCGAAATAATTGTAGAAAGGCTTCTATTTTCAGTGACTTGAGATACAAAAATTTCACTTACATTGACGCACAAAGTTACTGTAATTATTGCTAACAAATTGACTTTATTATTCTTATGTCGTACCTTTTTTGAAGTTAGGATGTCGTATTTGTTTAATTTAGTAAACTAAAAAATAATTAGTTTGGAAGTATTCGAGAATTTTTAAGGTATGATGTAGTGAATTCGTTGACGTTCTATTTGATAAACTGGAACCGAAAAGTTTGGCTCTTTAAATTTATTGGTTTATTATTACAAAGTGCAAAATCAATAATCATGGGGTATACTTCTAGCATCGTCTGCATGCATAAATATGTACTCTAAAATTCGCATGAGTTATATATTAACATCGTACATTATTATGTAACCTAACATTGATTCTATCAATGAGAAATCTATATTTCATGCTATTTTGGCATTATCTTAAGTTCATTATTCGATAGAAATTCATTCTTCAATAAGGAATAGAGGTAATTACTTATTTTAAGGGCATCAACTCCGATTTTGATGATTGTGAAATATGTTATAGAAGACAAAATTCTAAACAACTTTTTTTCTATAGATATAACGACCATGTGGCCTTAGTTTTCGAGATATTTGCAAACTTCCTTTCGTGCTACTGCATTGAATGCTGCCTAAGGGTGTCCCAAAATTATGTTACTCCCAGGAAATGAGAGATTCCTAAGGTTATTTGGAATAACTTTTTCCTTAACGAAAATGCAAACCGCGGCTTCGTTTACGAGTTTTTAACGAAAAATAGTGACCAATCAGAGGCGAGCACGGCTGGCGCGAGGCGACCGAGCCAATGAGCAGAACTAGGCTTCGTCCGCTCGTTGGCTCAGCCGCCTCGCGCCACCTGATCTCGCTTCTCATTGGTCAGTGTTTTTCGTTAACAACTCGTAATCAAAGTCGCGGATTGCATTTGCGCCAAGGAAAAAGTTACTTCAAATGACCTCAGAAAGCCTTCATTTCTCGGAAGTAACATAATTTTGGGACATCCTGTAGACAGAATTCAATGTTACGGAAGGAATTTTTCAAATATCTCGGAAACTAAGGCCGTGCAGCGGTTACATGTATAGCTAAAAATTGTTCGGAATTTTGTCGTCTACAACATATTTCAGAATCAACGAAATCAGAGCTGGAGCTCCTAAAGTAAACAATTACCGAAATGGAATCTCGGCCGGTCTAATTAATAACACGGTCTTAACAGCTTTCTCACAACAAGAGCTTTGCACTTGGGGATAAAAAGTATGCAAACAACGTTTACAGTTGAAATGCGTTTGATATTCTTGTCGTTGAACCGACAGGAACTCGAACAAGAGAAGAAGGAGGCCGAAGAGGCGAAACGAAAAGCGAAACACAAATCCTTGCTAGGATTCTTCCAAAACGGCGTCGGCGCGAACGACGACGAGGAAGGATCGATAGAAATCTCTTTAGCAGGTCTATTTAAATGCATGTTTTGCACGCACGGCCAAACTTCGGGTGAGAAGGAACAATTGGTCACGATCGGCGAATCATTGGATCACCTTGGAAAACGTTTGGAAGTTATCGAAAGGTTTGCTAATTTTCATTTTGTTTTTCATTTTCATTTTTCATTCACTTTCACTTTGTTTCAAGCTTCTCGGAAGAGTCATCGCTTTCTTCATATTTAGCTTTTCATCGGATAGATCTGTTTTTTCTTTTATTGTGCAATTTGCAGCATCAATTTATTGTTAAAAATCGATTGGTGAGTATACTTATTTTGTAAATCTCTTTATGTTTGTTACAGAAATCATTGATTTCTAAAGGTACAATTAGACATCTTACAGATACTGTTACTATTTCGAATCAGTGCAAATCTTTTACTTCATTAGAGAATATTACCGTCCCTAAGGTAAGATAGAGTTCTTGCGGCGAATTCCGGTGGTATTTCACGGATTAGACCGTCTCGCTGATGAGTCTATCAGCACGTTTGGGACGAAATGTTCGGTCCTGCGCTCTCATCTCTTCTTTTATCGTTATGTTCGTCTCATCAACCGCATTTTATCCGTGAAATGTATGGTGTCAATTTAGAATAATGAACGGATTAAGTTACCGTAGTTGTTAGCCACGCCGGAATCGCTTTAAACTGAAAGGAATTTTGTGAAAGTATAGTCGCCAAGTCAGACAAAGGAAATTAGAAGAAAATTCATGCACATTTTTTCTATAAATTTCAAATCCATCGAATTACGTGATTTTTCAAATACACAACGGAAAAATGTGATATCTTTCGTTTTTTCTAAAATGAATTTTCTCATAGATTCAGCATTGGTATAATCTATGTCATGTTCTCATTGGTCTATTTACAATTGATCATAAAATTTTGATATTTTTCACTTCTTTAGAAACGAATTTTCTCATAGAATCTGCATTAACCCATACCATGTTCTCGTTAGATGGAAACTTTTTGTTACGTCAGTTTCATTCGTCTTTAGAGATGTCAAGAATTAAAACGTTATTCTATTCTACTATATGGATTTTTCCTGAAATTCCTTTAACGATTTTCTAGGGCTGTAGATCCGCATGGACACGCGAGTAACAAACGGAGGGCTTCTTCGGTGGGTTCGCGAACAGCTGCTACTCTCGACGACATCGGCGAAGATCCTGCGGAGGATCGGGAATGTCACAGCGATACTGAAACAGTGACTAGTCAGAACACAGAGGGAAATCGAGAAGGCAACAATTTCCCCAGTCGTCCGTTCTGGCTGAGCGACGAGGGATTGAAGAAAGGTGAAATTGATGTGCTGTCGCTCCAAGAAGAACAATTCTGGAAGGACCTATTGGAGAAGTATCTGTATCCCATCGACGAAGACAAAGCAGAAAAGGTAAAGCCCCTTTGCTCACGTGTCTTGCGATTCCGATTTCCTCTCTACAGCATAAGTTTAGTATTATTGCCTTCACTACGTAGTCTTCTGGTTCCATTTTAATTCGAAATACAGTGTGTATCATAAATAAATCGACTCCTTAAATTTTTAATAATTTGACCTGCTTTAAGGGGGTATTCTAGTCTAGAGGTCGACTTTTTAGGTGCTATTTAGTATTTTTTTTTAAGAGCCATAAAGACATTATCGTGTCGGGATTTATGGCATGGCTTTGACCTGTATTTAAGGAGTATACACTATTTTTTTCATGAGAAAATATTTAAAATTGTCGAAGATAGTGCCCTTTCAATTGAATATGTCTGCACGGTTGCCACGATATTCCGGCCGTTCTTTTTCTTCGAAATGGACAAACAAACAAAGAGAAAATTTTCGACAGCACTTTCAAGTTAGGTTATCGATTTTTTGTGCTTTTTTCAAATAGTTAAAAACGTTAGATTTCAAAGATTTTGGCACGGACGATAGAGACACATATGTTGAAAATACCCGCCAATTTTGAGATATCATGGCAACCATCTAGAAAAATGTGGTTCCCAAAAAGAATGAAACGAGAAATATACCTGCTATTTGCAGTACTATGCCAACGGTGCGTCGCACGCTACAGACAAACGCTTGTCAAATCGAGACTTTAGTAATTTTTTAAATCCAACAATATCCACTGGTAGAAATATTTTCAAAGACATATACCTTCAGAAAATGAAATAATAGAGAAAACTGATTTTTTAAAATTTCTAGACTAGAATACCTCCTTAAATCAACTGTCGTAAAAGTAAATGGAAATAACATTACTGTTATTGTACTAATGTACCGCAATGTGGCTGTGGACGACAATCATTTTATTTTATTCGTGATAACGGAAACAATAATATCGGTAATGAAAATAACATTTATATCTCGAATCTTCTATTATACATAAATCCAAAAATGATATATTACGAGAATCTTCTTTTAAACAAATAACGTACTGCAATATTTATGATACACACTTTATAAACTTTGCTGAAAACTTTTGGAAAAGTTAGCTCTCTTAGTGATTTAACTTCTTTAACCGATACAAAATAGTTTTAACGCATTAAATATTTCTTTATAGGTACATTCGTTCTAAATTGTCATGAAACTTTATAGAGTCCATTTCCCAATTATTCTAATTATATAATAGAATGCCATAACCATTAAATCGTAATTGCCAGTTTTAGAATCGTACTTTTAAATGTTCACGATCGGTTGTTTTTTTAAATTGAATTTAGCGAACTGAATATTGCAGAGATTTGACATTCCTGCGATAAGTTTTGTAGTGACGCGTTTTCACGTTTGAAATTGGCGATTGTAACAGAAAAATTCTGTGAGACTTCATTACACGCGTAAAAGATAATTAAATATCGATAATGAGGAAACTCGCCGAACGAATTAACGCGACGAAACAATAATCGATCCATGCTGCTTGCATCAGGCACGAATCGCCAAAGATCTAAAGGACCTACGTGACCAGAGCGTGTTCGCGTTTTTTATGCTGAATGCCCTGTTCGTCCTGATCGTCTTTCTGCTGCAATTAAACAAAGACTTGTTGCACGTGAAGTGGCCTTTCGGTATCAAGACGAACATCACCTATGACGATCAAACGCAGGAGGTAAAGACCGCTCCGTCCATCTCGCGTTATCCTGCTCCTTGAACGATTAGCACCCTAGACACGCCCGTCGCCGCATTAAATATTCCCAGCAAAACACTTTAAATGCTCGCAAACTTCCCGCTCAAGTAGATTTATTAAACTTCCGCACATAGCTGCATCCTCGAACCAGTCCGCGGGCGTTTCGTTCCACGACACATTAGATTAGTGTAAAAATAGTTGAAACGCAACGATTTGGCTTAGACCTTAGCTTTCTTAAACGTTGGAAAAAGCGTATCAAGGCCGATAGATTATTAGGCAACAAGCTGTTATATGTCCGCTAACCTAATGTATCGAAAAGAGAGTGTCGTAAATATTCGTCGAAGAAAATACCAGTCCGTTGCAAATTCGTTTAGAAATTTACGCAAGCATTATGCAGCCTGTGACGCAGAACGTGTTTTCCGAAAAATCCGACCATAGAATACGATTCGAAGGAACGTTTCAGCATTCCAATTGTTTTGCAATCGCCCCGTTGCGTTCCCTTTCTCGCCTGCGTCCGAAGCTTACGATTTATCGAGACGATAATCCCAAGGAGTTCAAGGATCAACGGCCGAACGGACGGAGCGTATTTTTCTACATATTTTCTAACGTGTACTTTGTTTTTCTTGTTGCTTTGGTCCACGACAGGCTCGCATTGCTGCCGACTTGATCGAGCTGCGGAACAAGAGTGTGTTCGCGTTTTTTATGTTCAATGCGTTGTTCGTTCTGATCGTATTCTTGCTACAGCTGAACAAAGATCAGCTGCACGTTGTCTGGCCGCTCGGCGTCAAGACGAATATCACCTACATCGAAGAGACCTCGGAGGTACCTGGTATTTCCAAACGGGGAATTGAGAAACAGAGATGCTGTCTCACTGATGCCTCGGGAGACTAACACTCCCGGTGTGCTCCGCAACTCCCGACAACATTCTACTTATTTTCTGACGTATCGTCGTCGTGTGTTATCAGACTTAGTTACAGTCGGTCGAGCCGCCCGGCAGAACCGATGCTGATCCGTGAACGATAAGGGAAACATGTGTACCTGTCGAAGAGAGTTTGCGTCGTTCTCGGTCAACGGTAAATTCACCTTGGCTCATACGCTGCCGTGTCGCGTACGGTGCACAGATTTCGGATGTCTCCATTAGTTTTCTTCGCCAGAGTTTAAGGTTATCATGAAATAGTTTTCGATTTTTTAGAAAGAAAAACGAAGTGCGATTGAAACGGTGAACAAATATTTCTAATTGCTTTTAAATTTTGACGAAGCGTTGGTTGGAACAATGATTTCGATAGCGCGAAGTCGCTAGGTAGATCTTCGGTACATACATCGGGATTTCGTAATTTATTTATCGAATTTGAATGTCGACTGATTGATACCGACATAGCGAGAAACGGAGCACACCGGAAAATGGTACCCGGTGATGATAATTTTGCACTTACTGGGACATGTCTGTGTTTTGTCAATAACGTGGATCATCGGCACGCGGCGAATTACCATTAACATGTTTGCACAGGTATTCCTGGAACGAATGGAGCACGGGATGGAACCGAGCATCTGGCTAAAAAATAGTTGGCTAAGTCACAAATAACATCGCCGCCTCTCTAATTAAGATTCTTCCCGTCCTATTATCTCTTTATCCACAGAATTGCGATAGTCTTAATGTGATTACTTACATAGGATCTTTTCCCGACTAACAATAACCAGAGCAAGTTCAGGGAACAAACACGCAAATGAATTTTTACTACGGATATCGACGAAAGCGGCGCTCCATTGTTTTACATACTTTTTTCGTTTAACGCTGATCCCGCCTCTGCGCTGAAACATATGCCGCGGTGTACTGTTCGCAATACCAAACAAATTTCAAATAACCGTTCGACGTGGCCTGTTTAAAGGGATATAACGTTCAAACGCGTTTTACGATGCGAGGCTCGCCGAACATTTGTATTCGCTGTGACCATTGAAACATTTTCAAAAGAACGACGCAAAATGTTGTTCGTGTGAAAATGAGTTGAAGAACAGTGAACGAAGTTTGCACAGGGGCATTACTATTGTTTAAATAATAGGAACTTAGTACTCTGTTATTAATATTAAAAGTAAGTTGAACATTTTGACGGACAGTAAAAAAATAAAAAAACCAGTATTATAAACACAAAAGAATATTTATATTTTTGTGGTATACAAGATACAATTCAATAAACATATGAAGAAATAACGAAATTCGTATAGCTACAGTCGTCTAAAGTATTACAAAAAAAAGACAATTATAACATTAGTAATTAATATTTCCACAATTACCTTTTATTACTTCAAATACCTTATTCTTCATACTGCAAACACTAACTTTTGCAATGTCGTAACATTAATTTTACCTCATTTTTGCCTTATAGCAGTTTCCAACACTTTAACGTTATTATACTGCTTATTATTTTGATATATATACCGCTCTTGATAAGATCAAGAGTCATAAGTAGTAAATCTTTTTGTCGCAACCATTCTTTAATGTTTAAAGCACTGTGTACAGCAGCGTTATCTTGCCGAAAAATTCTAATAAATAAAATTCTAAAAAATATTTATCTGCGTTTAATCTGGTGCGAATTTTACATATTGATTTCTTTGCAGAATAGCTAACCGCACTCCACGGTATTAAACTTCCTCCGCCAAAATTCTCGTTTATGACCACTTATATTATATATGGCCACAATAATATTTATAACCACCAGATCCATCTAAACTAAACTTTTTCTCGTCAGAAAATATAATATTTTTCCATTCTGCATCCCAGGACGTATGATTTCGCTCGAAATCTAATCTTGCGGTTTTGTGATGTTTCGTAAGGGGTGGTTTCACTGCTTTTTTTGTCAACTTCAATCGCTTATCTTTTTGCAGTATCTGTTGCACAGATCTGTACTGCATCGTACAGTCACTGGCAAGTCTGAAATTTCTTTTACTACTTTAGAACTTTTATTTCCAATTTTTATTTCGCGAAAAATTCGTAAATGAACACGGGTTGTGAGTTTATTGTTACAACCTGCATGGTTTTTGGAATAACATCAACAGATCTATTAATCTTTTTAACTATTTGTTGAAAACAGAGTCCTATATCATGATGTTTCCATTTTTATTCGTTCTTCCGTATTTAGAACTTTTCCTCGTGGCATAATAATTGTTTTCAATTATTTGTAAAATAAAATATTAAATACTCTTAATATGTACTTTCTCTGAATTACGGATGATGTTTCTCATGTCAATGATGCTACTGTACTAAGGAAAATGTTTTACTGTCTTTATACAAATTTCGTACCCCTACCTTGGCAGATATTCTTGAATCTGTGTTTAGAAAACTCGGAAATCCGGAGTTTGTTTATAACGTCGCTCCGCAGTAAATGTACTGTGGTATGGATTAATTTTTTTCAGTAAATCGCAGTGTTTGTCTCTACACAAATTTCGTCCACTGTATTATACGGATAGCCAGTCCTGAATTTAATATTGCATACCGATACATCTAAAAATGATTTCATAAATTGCTACAAGTCTCGTCGTGTACGTTCAAGTCAACGAATTATTTTATAAATTAGTAAAAGCTTTAACGTCGCTATGTTAGTAATCACATGATTTTGGGTGTTTGTTCTCTTGACTTTCATGTCGTTCAACTCTTCCGTGGCCCGGCAGCTCCGTCGCGTGAATATTGAAGATTTTCTTTCTATTTTCCGTCTCCCCGGCAGCACGTGTCGAGTTTACGGGCCACGAAAGAGACAAAAGCAAAAGGCATCACGAAACCTTGTCCCGTTCTCCGCTCACTCGTCTGAATACGAAGGAGGGAGAATCGTCACGCAGGTTTCCGTTCCACGTTCTTATGTGTCTAATTCCGATAATGCACTGCTAGGTATGACAGCAGAGGAGCACCACTAACGAGTTACCGTCAATGTAACTAAACGGTGTCTTACAAAATTCCATGTGTTGCAGACGAGATCGTGTTCCGAACGGTATCCTGTTCCTACGAGCAATCGACTTGAACAATCGATTCGTTAACACTTTCACTGCCGACAGTCTCGAAAATCTCATGAAATTAAAACATTTGATTTAAACGTGCATGTAGTTGGTCGAACGAAAATTGAAACGTTAAGTTGTACAATAACGTACAACTGTTCCAACGTTTTTACATTTCGCGGTTCCTAATTATATTAGCAAGATACAATGGATTCGCCTAAAAATGAATTTTTATGCGACGCGGTAGCCGAAGTGTTAAAAAGAAACGAACGTGTTAGCTCGTTCGAAACGTACGCAATTCTTGAACTTGCAACTCGAGGACGATAGCTTGCACAGCTTCAAAAACTCGTGGAGCATCGTTTCGCGTATGGACAGGATACGCTGTCTATTTCATTGCCTTCTACCTCGACGTATGTATATTTCTCAAACAGAGCAGCAAACGGCTGTCTTGTCGATATTCGTTCATGCGATCATTGTCGAGGCTGGGATACGGCGTTGAAGCACACAGCAATTAATAACCCACGAGCGAAGAGTTTTATTCGTTTCTCTGTCTTCCTCCTCTGTTTACCATTTAAGTTCGACGCGGCTCATTCGTCACTGTCCCCTAACAATGGCGTCTATCCCGCAGGTACGCATCACAAAAGAATACCTGCAACTAGAGCCGATCGGCTTGGTATTCGTATTCTTCTTCGCTTTGATATTGGTGATTCAATTCACCGCGATGTTGTTCCATCGGTTCGGCACGTTCGCCCATATTTTGGCCAGCACCAGCCTGGATTGGCACTGTTGCAAGAAGGTACGTGTTACCGACATCACAATTTCCTATACATCTGGCTGCGTGTACTCGTTTTCACCGGTTGACCGTTTTTACCACGTTAGACCAAGGATTTGTCAGACGAAGCACTGCTGCCGAAAGACGCGGTGGAAATAGTCAGGGATCTGCAGAGATTAGACGGGATGGAGGGCGATTACGAAGAAGGCAGCGGCAGCGGACCTGGCAGAAGGAAGACCATAAGGAACCTTGAAAAGAGCCGGCGAAAAACCCAGGCTATCAATACGCTCGATGTCGCATTCAGACAACGATTCTTCAGCATGTCCGATGGGAACGGTAAGCGAGAAGCGAAATATCGTATTTCAGCGTGCCTCAATTAGTCACCGATGCGTTTCAACCACCTCTTTGCGCAATATCCTTCGCTGTCTCAGACACGCCAACTTTGTATGTACTACGGTTACACAAACAAAATTTAACTGAGAGAAAAGATAAAAAAAGAAAGGGAAACCGATGTTTCAACTTAAATTTTCTGTGCGAAAAAAGATTCTTAAACCTCTGCACTATAGCAATGAGTGGGACTCGTGATGGAGATTTAAAATGTAATCTAGTAAATAGGAACGTTATTCCTTTATTTGGAATCGAGGAACAAAATTTGATTCTTCTGTAATTAAAATCTAGGAATGAGGATAAACAAAGACACAAGAGATACAGAAATTGTTTTGTTCTATTTAAGAAAGTTATTGAAGGCGAAGAAGTGCTAATCGACGTAGCTATGAAAGAAGTCGTAGTAGAAGTGGTTGTATGCTTAGGATCGTTTACAATTTTGTTTATCAATTTTTTTCAACACAACTTTTAAGCTACTCCTCCTACTTAGTTTTTCTATAGACTTTAATGAAATATCTGACAATTTGAATTAACTGTCGGGAACTAGATTATTGGACAAGTAACAACGCGATGTACTGACTCTGAGGAATGTTTGAGAATTAATTCCGCGATGTCCGATCATTAACACCGTACAAATGTCAATTAAATATAAACAAATCAACAATTAGGTGTCGTTCTTGGAGGGTTAACTTTATCGTCGACTCTTGTCTATCTCAAAATCTAGGAACGAAATTATACAAGATACAAAAATCCTCTCGTTCTGCTAAGAAAATGATTAAAAATTATGCAAGCGTTGAATAACCAGAGCGCGGATTTATATCCAAAATAAAAATGTTCTGAGTCAGTTTTATAAAAAAGGAGATGGATGAACGATAATGAAAGCGTATTCCTTCGTTAAATAATACGAACATGTCGAAAATGATATAGTAATATGCAATTCTTTTTATAATTTTATTACGTAAATATTCTTGTTTAGGTCTGCCAAGGAACATGTCAACGAGACGGTCTGCAAGGGCCTTCAAGGCCTTCGAGGGTCGTAGAAACAGCATCATGGCGATGAGGCGAAAGTCGCAGATGCAAACCCTGGGTGCGAATAATCCTTACGGCGTAGCTGGGAATCCTCTGGGGATCCAAGGTCGTCCTTCGCGAAGCAGTCAGATATCCGTGAAGGATGTTTTCGAGGGTCACGCCGGCCACACGAACTCCGCCTACGAGCCAGATGAGAACACTGGGAACAGCCTCAGACTGCAAAATTTAGGTCAAAGTACGTGGAGAGATACTAACCCCAACATCTAACGCGCAACTATTACATGAACGTACGTATATCGAGAAACCTGAATGGTTTAATAGATACTTTATATCTTTATATTTAACAGTAATTTTGTATTTGTATATCTAATACCAATTTTATATTTTTATATTTAGAAGTAATTTTATATATTTATATTCAATAACAATTTTATATTTAATTTATCTAAACAATAATATCTTTTGTTTTGACATGTATTTAAATTCAAACATAGCGGCCGACATGGCGGTCAATTTAGGCTGCAATCTGAATATTCTTAATCCACGATCAACTGCAGGGTGTACCAAATTCACTCGTAATCTGGAAATTAGGGGTTTCCGATGTTATTTGAAGTAACTTTTTCCTTAGTGCAAATGCAATCCGCGGCTTTGTTTACGAGTTATTAACAAAAAATATCGACCAATGAGAGGCGAGCTCGGCTGATGCAAGGCAGGCGAGCCAACGAGCGGATGAAGCCCAGTTCCGCTCATTGGCTCCGCCGCGGCGCCTCGCACCAGTTGATCTCGCCTCTCATTGGTTACTGTTTTTCATTAATAACTCGTGGATTGCATTTGCATTAAGGAAAAAGTTACTTCATATGACCTCAGGGACCCTTCATTTCCCGATTACGAGTGACTTTTGAGAGACTCTGTATAAGTTGTTCCATTGCATTGTCGTTTCTGCCACAAATTTATCGATAGTTTTCACTTACTTTTATAAATTCTGTTTTTATTACTATTTCATTATTTTTTTTTTTTAATAAAAAATACCTTTACGTATCGTTTGCCACTGGAATAAACATACCTTGTAAAAATGAATCCGTCAAGCATTAATGCATTTTGCGTGTTGGATTATCGTTAGAAGGAAGGTGCGAAGAAATTTCTATTTTTAATATAGTAAAGCCTCGCGTTAAGTATAGTAAAGTGGACATTAAAGTGGCAAATGGTTTGGCGCATCGAGGAGAAATGGTCGTAGATGATGAAGCGTACTGTAGACTAATTTGTATACATCAGTTGGTGAATAGCACCGCCATACCGTAGCACAAGCCACGATATAAGTCAGTTTGCTTCTCGAATAGTCTGACAATTCAGTATCCAGAATTTTAAAGCAGTGCATAAAGCACTGATGCATTAGAAATGGGGCAGTAAATCTTCCTGTTACAATCATTCGGGTTAATAGTATGTATACAGGGTGATCCACGTAACACTTTTCACGATTCTTCAAGAACTTCCGATAATCTGATAAGAAAATGTTTGAAACGAAAGTTGATCAGTTTTCGATTGGCTATGTAGTGCAGCAAAAAAATTTCATCAAAATATCTTTTTTGTTAATTGTCAAAGCCACCCAACCAATATCACCCTGTGTCTATCCAACCATAACGCTACCACTGATTCATTATGAAATAATAGACCCTGCGGGAACGTTTTAACTTCGAAGTATTTCTATTTAAAACCAGGTTAAGTTATTCTGACAAACGATGTTTTATAAAAAGTGAACTATTTCGAATGTTTTAGCTAGAACGTGACCTACCGACAACTTTATCGAGCCGCGTGCAAGTCGGACGAAGAGAAGCTCACCTTTAAGGCCGTGAATGCACGGGCGTTTTCCGGCGTTTTGTACGCTGCGTTTTCTTCGTCATTTGCCACATGCGATTATTCATTGTAGCGTACGAAACGCGGCGCGCAAGACACCGAGAAAGGTCGCCAGTAAGGATAATAGAATNACAAAAAATATCGACCAATGAGAGGCGAGCTCGGCTGATGCAAGGCAGGCGAGCCAACGAGCGGATGAAGCCCAGTTCCGCTCATTGGCTCCGCCGCGGCGCCTCGCACCAGTTGATCTCGCCTCTCATTGGTTACTGTTTTTCATTAATAACTCGTGGATTGCATTTGCATTAAGGAAAAAGTTACTTCATATGACCTCAGGGACCCTTCATTTCCCGATTACGAGTGACTTTTGAGAGACTCTGTATAAGTTGTTCCATTGCATTGTCGTTTCTGCCACAAATTTATCGATAGTTTTCACTTACTTTTATAAATTCTGTTTTTATTACTATTTCATTATTTTTTTTTTTTAATAAAAAATACCTTTACGTATCGTTTGCCACTGGAATAAACATACCTTGTAAAAATGAATCCGTCAAGCATTAATGCATTTTGCGTGTTGGATTATCGTTAGAAGGAAGGTGCGAAGAAATTTCTATTTTTAATATAGTAAAGCCTCGCGTTAAGTATAGTAAAGTGGACATTAAAGTGGCAAATGGTTTGGCGCATCGAGGAGAAATGGTCGTAGATGATGAAGCGTACTGTAGACTAATTTGTATACATCAGTTGGTGAATAGCACCGCCATACCGTAGCACAAGCCACGATATAAGTCAGTTTGCTTCTCGAATAGTCTGACAATTCAGTATCCAGAATTTTAAAGCAGTGCATAAAGCACTGATGCATTAGAAATGGGGCAGTAAATCTTCCTGTTACAATCATTCGGGTTAATAGTATGTATACAGGGTGATCCACGTAACACTTTTCACGATTCTTCAAGAACTTCCGATAATCTGATAAGAAAATGTTTGAAACGAAAGTTGATCAGTTTTCGATTGGCTATGTAGTGCAGCAAAAAAATTTCATCAAAATATCTTTTTTGTTAATTGTCAAAGCCACCCAACCAATATCACCCTGTGTCTATCCAACCATAACGCTACCACTGATTCATTATGAAATAATAGACCCTGCGGGAACGTTTTAACTTCGAAGTATTTCTATTTAAAACCAGGTTAAGTTATTCTGACAAACGATGTTTTATAAAAAGTGAACTATTTCGAATGTTTTAGCTAGAACGTGACCTACCGACAACTTTATCGAGCCGCGTGCAAGTCGGACGAAGAGAAGCTCACCTTTAAGGCCGTGAATGCACGGGCGTTTTCCGGCGTTTTGTACGCTGCGTTTTCTTCGTCATTTGCCACATGCGATTATTCATTGTAGCGTACGAAACGCGGCGCGCAAGACACCGAGAAAGGTCGCCAGTAAGGATAATAGAATCGTAAACAGTATTGCCAGGAAATGAATGATTAGAATGGAAATCTTTTTGCTCTGTTGCCCGTGTCTCTCGCAATCGCCGACAAACTGAAATTGGCGATTGCGGAGCAAGGTGGAAAAGCTATTCTTTCTCGCGTTACACATTTCCTGGCGACACTGATTGTAGGATTCCATCTGTCGCGTATTTCAGCGCTTCCTATGACAATTATTTACTTTAATTTGAAAATGCGTATGTTGTAAGAATGGCTAGAACGGTATGAAAAAGACTGCCCTTGTGTAGAATAATTTATGATCGAATGAGTGTTACGGGACTGTCTTTAAACACACAACAAGAAAGCCAACAAGAGATCCCAGGATAAAGAAGAATCGTTATTTGAACGACTTCGTTAGGCGGCTATGCTTTTATAACGCAATGAAAGCCCATAATTCGAGATGCTTATAGACAGTCCTGGGTAGGAAACGATTTTTTTTACTCGTGACTAGATATTTAAGAGCAAATAAACTGACCGGTGAATAGCAATATTTTGTAGGACAACCGCCGTATGAGAGTCCCCGGTTGAATAGTATAACTATCATAGGCGATAATTTATCGTAAATATCCTTGTTAATTTGTATCGTATTAGCGAGGACACGCTATCACTTGTACGTGACCAGTTATCACAGCGACGACGCTTACATTCCTTCTTGCTCCCCTAAACGTGATACCGCTGTTATATATTTAATCGACAGACCTCTTCTTTGTACATACCGCGCGCGCGTACTTGTAAAGCGATCTATGGAAAAAATTGCATTGATTGTAAATGGAATAATGAGATCGTGCGATCAAGAACATTCGCAAGGAAAATTCATCTCTGTGATTTCAATGCATCCTTTATGTCCCATGGTTGCCCGACGAATTTTAGTGACAGCCAGATGCGTGCCACAGAGTGTAAGTATTCTTTACTGAAAATTCTCAGACACTCGCCTTTTAATACGGACGCTTGATCGATTCGCGATGGAATATTGCCGACTGCAAAATAAACGTGATCTAGAATAACTGATTTCAAAAGCCAGCCAAAAATAGAGGATTTGATTTTTTTTTTTAATGGAACGCAAACGAGGGTATGCGATCATAATCGAACGCTGTGAATGTAAAAGTTAAACGATTTCGTTTTCTAATCAGTAAATAATCAGCGAAAGCCGTAACAAAATATTTTAATGCGATTTCCTTTTGTAGATATTTAATAAGTGCTGCACGGAACATTCTAGTAAATTATACCTAAAAGTGCAGAATAGCTGTTAACAAAATATCTTTTTATGGAAGTTATCTAGGAGCATACGGAATCGGAATTCAATAGTACTTGCGAATTTAGATGATTGACACAGTGTTTTTTCAGTAATGTCAAGATGGCACACATAAGGTTTTCCTGATATATAATTCTTTTTATGAATTTGGTTTGTACAGTGTCCCACAAAAGTGTTCGTATACCTTTTAAAACGTAATAACTTCTCAAAAATTGAACTAAATCACTTGAATTTTTTTTAGATGACAGAAGAACTAGTCTACTAAATGATGGCTAAAAAGCTTCTTCTTTCTTTTTTTTAATTTTGCTATTATTTGGAATGAAAAGAAAAAATTAAAAACCCTCGTTTTTTAACTTTTTTATTTGAGTCTATAACGAAAATTTAAAAAATGCCTTTTGTAGATCCCGGTAACCTATGTGCGTGCTAAAAATTTGATAGAAATTGGTTAATTCAGAATCGAGCCACAGGCTTTGAAGGATTTAAAAAATTGCAGATTTCTTACAGTTTTTGGTTAAAACCGTGATAAAACTGCGAGTTTTGCGATTTTTAATTTGTTGTAATTCGTAACAACGGGAAATTTCGTTATAGGCTGAAATAAAAAAGTTAAAAAACGAGAGATCTTTATTGTTTTGTCATTCTAAGTAATAGCAAAATTTAAGAAAAAAGCATTTCAGTCGTCGTCTAGTATATATAGACTAGTCCCTCTATCATCTAAAAAGAAATTCAAGACATTTAGTTCAGTTTAAAAATAGTTATTGCGTTTTCAAAGGTGTACGAATACTTTTGTGGGCCACTGTACATATTTTAAATATTTTGGTTCACTACGGATTATTAAAGTGATTGTGGGCAACACTTCTCATATACAGAACATATTCATTTATAAATGTTTCAAGTTTAATTTATTCGTTAGGACGAATGTTGAAGTAACTATAACGGAGAGATCAAAATAATGACAAAATTGGAATAAATGTTCAAAATTATTTTGCACCGACTTCTGCACATTTTTTAATTCGGTTTCTTTATTCAAGCCGTAGCCAATTTCGGCGCGACAATTAAACGCGATGGACAATGCGATGCTCGGACGGCTGAAGGTCATATGAAACTTCAGTTACTATGTTACTATAGGTCATTAANATTTGAGTCTATAACGAAAATTTAAAAAATGCCTTTTGTAGATCCCGGTAACCTATGTGCGTGCTAAAAATTTGATAGAAATTGGTTAATTCAGAATCGAGCCACAGGCTTTGAAGGATTTAAAAAATTGCAGATTTCTTACAGTTTTTGGTTAAAACCGTGATAAAACTGCGAGTTTTGCGATTTTTAATTTGTTGTAATTCGTAACAACGGGAAATTTCGTTATAGGCTGAAATAAAAAAGTTAAAAAACGAGAGATCTTTATTGTTTTGTCATTCTAAGTAATAGCAAAATTTAAGAAAAAAGCATTTCAGTCGTCGTCTAGTATATATAGACTAGTCCCTCTATCATCTAAAAAGAAATTCAAGACATTTAGTTCAGTTTAAAAATAGTTATTGCGTTTTCAAAGGTGTACGAATACTTTTGTGGGCCACTGTACATATTTTAAATATTTTGGTTCACTACGGATTATTAAAGTGATTGTGGGCAACACTTCTCATATACAGAACATATTCATTTATAAATGTTTCAAGTTTAATTTATTCGTTAGGACGAATGTTGAAGTAACTATAACGGAGAGATCAAAATAATGACAAAATTGGAATAAATGTTCAAAATTATTTTGCACCGACTTCTGCACATTTTTTAATTCGGTTTCTTTATTCAAGCCGTAGCCAATTTCGGCGCGACAATTAAACGCGATGGACAATGCGATGCTCGGACGGCTGAAGGTCATATGAAACTTCAGTTACTATGTTACTATAGGTCATTAAATTTGCCTTGATCTTAGCTATCATGATATAAAAACAGAAATATGTAAATCTATTAAAAAAGAAAACATCGATGATCTTGAAATTTCAAAAAATATGACCTTTAAAAAAAAGAACGATTTTGCATCAGAACATGTGTTCCCTTGAACAAAAACAATTTATTCCTTAAGCACTTTCGCGTATCATTACCGACAACGGGGATATCGCTTTGTAACAGAGTTACAAAATTACAACTTTTTAAGAGAAAAACGTTGACAAAGCTTCATACGACGTTTGACAATGTTTGATCTGACGTTAAGTAGCTTTGTAAATTTATCAGGTATCTTTATGGCCTAAATGTTTGACGAAGTGCCTCTGTCATAAATATTAAGTAAGCCATCATCATGTAATCATTAATTGTTCGTTGTATAGTCCATGCCTGGTAGAATCCTTCCGGAGGCACTGCCCAGTTTGCTAGAAGATAAGGATAAGTGGCCACTAACCCGTAATTGTTACCAACTAAGTATCTGGAACAAATAGAGAACTGTTGACAAAATTATGCATATATTAAACAACAGTATACCATTGTATAACTGAAGAAAATCATAATTACGCGAAGTGTCCACTAACAATCACCTCGACAAGTGCAGTGCTTCTAGACGTGTACAGAATCCTTTCAGGAAAAATGCTATACAATTGAGTATCATCGCCCTGAAACATACAAAAAGCAGAAGTACATTTTATTCTCTACCAATATTAATAAAACATAATTTTTATTTTACACATATTGTTATTTATCATTTGAGGTTGTTGAAAATTATTTAATCAATGTTATCAAGATCCAGTTGCCATAAATCATCTAGAAGGTATGCTGAATACTTCATAATATTTAGAATCCCTATTTTGAAACCTTCGATATACGTTTCTACGTTGTATCGACTTTTTCGATACAGTAAAGTCTTCCTTATCCGAAGGTTTATTTTTCAATATTTTAATATCAAAACAATCTATTTTTTAAAAATTTCATTAAAATTTTCTACTAGCTGATAATGTATCTAAATAATACAATGATTGGATAATAGAACGTTTGGATACCAAAATATTATAGAAACGAATGTTCGGACAAGGGGATTTCTATCGTCTTTGCAAAATGTTCTTTCAAACTTTACCTTTAATATTAACTCTCCGCTGTCACGGTTCCAATGCGACACATGTATATCATATTCGGTCAGTCAGATCCAGTTCAGTTTGAAAACTGTCACTCAAAACTAGCAGTACTATTGAGACCCAAAAATTTGAGAATATAATTTGAACATTGTAGAATATGGTTTCCTTTATTAGAACTCACTAAATATCTCACTTCCAAGTATATTGAATTAATTGTTAATTTCATTCTTCTCGTGGCAATCACTTTTTCTAAATAAAAAAAATGTGGAACATTTTGACCCAGTTTGACAGCGAAGAGTTAAAACAAACATTAAACGTCTTTGAGTACAGTTGTTCTTCTTCAGAATCCAGACGACCTTATTTTGATTTAATATTAATTATAATATCGACGAAGTCTGTGCATATTTTGACAACACGTACTAAAATAAGCTTTAGCTATTAGAACACGTTAATACTTGTGGTTGTGTAGACGACGTTCGTAATTTAGCCAAATCGGCAATCGATAAACCGGTTATGATGCAAGCACCGAGAACATAATATTTATGATGGCAATATAGAGAGTAGATTAAAGTGGTCACACTGAGACTGCCGAGAATATTATCCAACAAATTAGGTTTCTCTTTGTTTAGCTTCTCGTCCAGTTCTATAATCACTGGATCGAAAGCTGAAAAGAAAAGGTTTTCCGTCAGCAGGGAGGGATTTTTTTGTTGTAATTCCGGAGGGCTCTCGACAAGAGTATCACGTAACAGTTTCTTTGCTATCGTTTTTTTTTGTCTTTCAGGGGAGAATAGCCCCTACATTTTAATGTCACCTCATTTTTCATATTGTACAGAATATTTCCCTGGATAATGAAGTTATTAAAACTTGATTACTTTTATACTACTGATTAAGTTTTTATAAAATCTTTAATTGAAGCTAACTTTTCATATATAGAGGGTGAGTCTTGTAATATGACGACCTGAAATAACTCATAAAATATTTGTTCTATAAAAAATGTTTCAAATTCTAATCAGTTTCTAATCAGTTTCATGTTATTTTGCTTTTTTTATCACCTTCAATTTTTTAAAAATGGAATAGCTAATATTTCTTCCTGAATTCAGATAAAACGTTGAATTTCACATCAAAAATTATTACACCGAATAGAATAAAAAATATATAGTTACTGAGAGACATTAGCGAACATAAATTACTTTTATTAGGAAAGACTGTTACTCAATGTGATTGTTAAAACAACGTAGCCAGACAGCTTTGTTTACGAGCTTCAAATTCATTCACTGTCCGAATATTTTTCCGAATAATTTTTATAAATTTTGTCACAATTTTGTTTCTCGCTTATTATACAAAAGAAAATGTGCAATAAATAAATAAAATTTATGTTTCTACTTACTTTAAGAAGTGCTTTATTATATGAGAAAACAATTGATTCAATAATACTATCATAAACAATAAAAAGGAGCAATAATTCTTCTAACAATATATGTCCGAATATTAATGCGACAATGTATGCGACAACGTATTTATCGTGCATGTTCTACAATAACAGCAGAAAATCTTGAAAATGTTTTTCATTCACCAATAATAAGGATACGCAATAGTATTGATTGTAACGGGCAGCAGTTCGAACATCGCTTAAAATAAAAATTATTTTGCTAATATCTCTGTAACTATGTACTTTAGATCCTATTTGGTGTAATACATTTTTGTGTAGAATTCAACGTTTTATCCGAATTCGGGAAGAAATATTAATCATTCCATTAAAAAAATTGAAGGTGACTTTCATATATTGATAAAAGAGCAAAATGACTTAAACATGATTAGAATGCTATATGTCCCCTTGGAAACCCTGCACACACACAACTCTTCTATTTGAAACATTTTTTCATACAATAAACATTTTATGAGTTATTCGATATCGTCATGTTATGAGAACGAATGNAAACAATTGATTCAATAATACTATCATAAACAATAAAAAGGAGCAATAATTCTTCTAACAATATATGTCCGAATATTAATGCGACAATGTATGCGACAACGTATTTATCGTGCATGTTCTACAATAACAGCAGAAAATCTTGAAAATGTTTTTCATTCACCAATAATAAGGATACGCAATAGTATTGATTGTAACGGGCAGCAGTTCGAACATCGCTTAAAATAAAAATTATTTTGCTAATATCTCTGTAACTATGTACTTTAGATCCTATTTGGTGTAATACATTTTTGTGTAGAATTCAACGTTTTATCCGAATTCGGGAAGAAATATTAATCATTCCATTAAAAAAATTGAAGGTGACTTTCATATATTGATAAAAGAGCAAAATGACTTAAACATGATTAGAATGCTATATGTCCCCTTGGAAACCCTGCACACACACAACTCTTCTATTTGAAACATTTTTTCATACAATAAACATTTTATGAGTTATTCGATATCGTCATGTTATGAGAACGAATGTATTTTAATTCTCATCAAAATTTGTATTGAAATAACAAGTGATCAACAAAAAAATGTTATATCCTAACTTAGTTTGTTATAATCATAATTTGAATTTTCACTGGAATAATTTTTGTTGTACTTTCTATTGATTTTAAGCTGTACGCATTTAAGTTTAAGAACAGGTTTCACTTCGAAGAACTTTTGTTCTACTGTAAAGAGAAGAATTAACATTTGTGATGTGATTTTCAATAATCATATATTTAGAAAAATCCTTTACTTACCATATTCTTTAAAAAATAGTTTATACATAAGTACGAACACAGATCGTGCGCCGATCATCGCAATACCGCTACATGCGCACGCAAGATGTGGGAGAAGTCTCTGGTATTCGTTGTATGAGTGCTTTATCAATGTGTAGATGCAGAATTCGCAAGTTAACAATAAATATGAGCAGGATAAAATGGATTCTAATATCATAGCATCGTTTCTTTAATCAGGTAAAATGTGGAAACGTTATGTTGCATTTTTCGTTACATTCGGTAAACTATGACATAGAGACATATTGTTGTCCGATCGATTGTTATACTGGGCACAGTCATTAATGCACCACTTTAATAGAACAAGAAAAGCAATTTTACTTTGGTTATATCATTGACCTCCACAGTGAACATGAACACGAAGTTTAACACGATTACAAATGCGTGACGTTGTTTCGAAACGTATCGATATCGGCCAGTGTCGAAATATTCACAAATAATTTATCGATGGTGTGCGTATCGATGGAACAGAGATGAGAGGGACATGTTTCAGGAAGAAGTTTCTGTGACAAGATGATACGAAATAGGCTTGATAAGCATGTGCTGAAAGAGTGCGACATTATATACGAACGTCCGTGATATGACGCTATGCAAAATATATTTCTCCTTGTGATTCGTCTCTTGATTGTGATGTACATGGTAACAACGACAAACGATGTAACCGTTCACATTACGGACTGCACTAACAATAATTCAATGTACTGTAACAGTATCAATAATATCGCAGCGAGAAACAACACTGTAAGTACTGATAATGTGAATTATTCTCGAGCAATTGCTATGAATAATTTAATGAAGGAATATAATGGAAACGATCGGCGAAATATCTAAGTTACGAATATAACCATTTCGCAATTGCTCCGAGCGTTAGCGTGATAACCAGTGCTTTAATTCTTAGTATCACTAAGCAATATTGTATATTATAGAATGTTAATTTTTATACTACGGCAACAGCGACGAAATTGCAAGCAGATTATTATTTAAGACGTGAAGAGGAAAGTATAAATTTATCCGCACTTTGTAATAAGTGGCAGATTAGTATGATCGTAGAAGATAATAAGATCCAAGTGGAAGAGAACATTTTTAAAAATAATTCAAGGAAAGTTACTCCCTTAGAGGCACGATTCTCTTTGAAGAATAATATTCTGTCCAGAAACCACGAAGTCAGTTATTCTTATCCTTTTACAGATTTTACTCAAACTCATTCCTACTTCGGTTTTTCATCTGTTCATGCGTATGGACGGACGTATCATCGGCTCACCAGGAATCTAATGTCGATAACAATTAATAATGAATCCAATTTAAGGCGTAATCGTCGGAAGTCGAAGAGAGTGAGGAGATCGTCGAATTTATTTTTTCGTGGTAAAAAGAGAAGACCGGATCGAAATGTTTTAGTAAATCAAAATTTGAACTGTCGGCATAATCAATGGAATAATACTCTTTTACTTGCTAAGTTACTCGACATGTCGTATACCACGCAAAACAGTAGTAAACCTGATACTTCGCCAACTATTTTGAGATTTCCACGATCATTACTTTCGAAATTAATTACTGAACACATAACTTACCCCATTAAAAAGAGAAGAAAACGAAGCGTAGGAAGGAGAATAAACAGAAATGGAAACACCGCGACCGAATCAGACGCAGGTATGACTGCATACGCAGACGCAATTATGATTCTTGTCACAACACAAGATCCAAATATTGAATCACAGTTGACTTATAATACTGAATACATGCCGGAGAAGGACAATTTCGAAACAACCTTGAGTTGGCTAGACGAGCAAGATGGAAGCACAATACAGCCCGAATATGTTACACAAGAGGAGGAAGAAAAGATATCAGAAATTACTGCAGGAGTACCATTTTATACGACAGCTACAATCCCTTTAAAATATATAACCAAGGTGGAGGAAACAAAAACTCTAGCACCTACGACAGAAGAAATAACTATCGCCGCTACAACAACAAGTGAAACAACTGTTGAAAGAACATTAGAGGAGACAACTACGGTAGAACCGACTATATCAACGGTATCAGTTGTAATGGAAGAAATAACTACATTCCGCTCAACAGCGATAACAGAAATGATGATACATGAAACAACATTGCAGGAGACAAGTACATTGCAGACGACAACAACAACACTATCATCAACAACAGAAGTGACTACCTTTCCCATAACTGCGACAACAGAAACAACGATTCGGAAAACAACATTAGAAGAAACAACTACGGTAGAACCAACTACATCAACGGCATCGTCAACAACGGAAGAAGTGACAACTTTTCCCGCGACAGTGACAACAGAAACGACGTTACGCGAAACAACACTAGAAAAAACAACCACGGCAAAGCCAACTACAACAACAATAGTGCCTACAACAGAAGAACTGACTACCGTCCTCACAACAGAAACAACAGAGACGACGACTCGTGAGACAACATTGGAAGCAACAACTACGGTACAACCGACTATAACAACAACAGTGTCTATAACGGAACAAGTGACTACCTCTCCTACAACAGAAACAACAGTGGTGACTTTTCGGGAAACAACATTGGAAGAAACAACTACGGTAGAACTCACTACAACTACGGTATCGTCTACAAAAGAAAAAGAAACAACAGAAACGACGTTACGGGAAACAACATTCGAAGAAACAACTGCAGTACAGCCGACTACAACAACAACAGTGTCTACAACAGAAGAACTGACTAGCGTACTCACAACAGAAACTACAGAGATGACGACTCGGGAGACAACATTGGAAGAAACAACTACGGCACAGCCGACTACAACAACAATAGTGTCTACAACAGGAGAACTGACTACCGTCCTGACAACAGAAACAACAGTGACGATGACTCGGGAGACAACATTGGAAGGAACAACTACAGTACAGCCGACTATAACAAAAACAGTGCCTACAACGGAGGAAGTGACTACCTACCCTACAACAGAAACAACAGTGCCACCGTTTCGGGAAACAACATTGGGAGAAACAACTACGATAGAACCCACTACAGCAACGGTATCGTCTAGGACCGAAGAAGTAACAACAGGAACAACGTTACGAGAAACAACTTTGGAAGAAACAACTACGGCACAACCGATTAGAACAACAACAACAACAGTGTCTGCAACAGAAGGAATGACTACCTCCGCTACAACAGAAACAACAGTGGCGACTTTTCGGGAAACAACATTGGTAGAAATAACTACTGTAGAACCCACTACATCAACGGTATCGTCTACAAAAGAAGAAGCAACAACAGAAACGACGTTACGGGAAACAACATTGGAAGAAACAACTACGCTACAGCCGACTACAACAACAACAGTGTCTACAACAGAAGAACTGACTACCGTACTCACAACAGAAACTACAGAGATGACGACTCGGGAGACAACATTAGAAGAAACAACTACAGTAGAACCCACTACAACAACGGTATCGTCTACAACAGAAGAAGTAACAACAGAGGCGACGATTCGGGAGACAACATTGGAAGAAACAACTACGGCACAGCTAACTACAACAACAACAGTGTCTACAACGGAACAAGTGACTACCTCCCCTACAACAGAAATAACAGTGGCGACTTCTCGGGAAACAACATTGGAAGAAACAACTACGGTAGAACTCACTACAACTACGGTATCGTCTACAAAAGAAAAAGAAACAACAGAAACGACGTTACGGGAGACAACATTTGAAGAAACAACTACGGCACAGCCAATTATAACAACACCAGTGTCTACAACGGAACAAGTGACTACCTCTCCTACAACAGAAACAACAGTGGCGACTTCTCGGGAAACAACATTGGAAGAAACAACTACGGTAGAACTCACTACAACTACGGTATCGTCTACAAAAGAAAAAGAAACAACAGAAACGACGTTACGGGAGACAACATTTGAAGAAACAACTACGGCACAGCCAATTATAACAACACCAGTGTCTACAACGGAACAAGTGACTACCTCTCCTACAACAGAAACAACAGTGGCGACTTTTCGGGAAACAACATTGGTAGAAATAACTACTGTAGAACCCACTACATCAACGGTATCGTCTACAAAAGAAGAAGCAACAACAGAAACGACGTTACGGGAAACAACATTGGAAGAAACAACTGCAGTACAGCCGACTACAACAACAACAGTGTCTACAACAGAAGAACTGACTAGCGTACTCACAACAGAAACTACAGAGATGACGACTCGGGAGACAACATTGGAAGAAACAACTACGGCACAGCCGACTACAACAACAATAGTGTCTACAACAGGAGAACTGACTACCGTCCTGACAACAGAAACAACAGTGACGATGACTCGGGAGACAACATTGGAAGGAACAACTACAGCACAGCCAACT